AAGGAAGATCGCGGACTGAAGCATGATGAAAATGATAATTGAACACGGTGGAAAGTCTAAATTGAAGCACGACCAAATAAATGGAAGAAACAAAGCAATAACAAAGGTGGCAGTAAAGTGGCGTTATGAACAGGGTAATGAACAGCTGAGATGAGGGATGCGGAAAGCAGGGAGAAGATGATGAACAGGGTAATGAAGTTGGAAATGAGCCACTGCGAAAATGAAGAAGCTATGAGGTGAGGTTATGAACAGTGAAAATAAGCTTCTTACAGTGTGAAACAGATAGGGTGACGGAGGAAACTGGCTGAACACGGTGGAGAGAGACTAGACGATGAACAGTGTGCTATGAAATATGAAAGTGAGATTTAGGCAGTGCGAAACGGAACAAGGTGACGGTGAAAGAGAGCAGAGAAAGCTGCTATGAATGCTCGGTGGAGATGAAAGCTGGGCGATGAAGATGATAAAGGCATATACGATGAACACAGTGAAGTAAAGAAACGAGAAACTGTACAAGGCTAGAGACAATGAAGTACAGCTGGAAGTGGAGGACTTAGCTTCTGGCGCTGCTCACCGAGGGGCTGAACAGGATGATGTGCGATGGAGGTTGAGGACGACAGTGAAGAAGCTGCAAATGGAGATGAAAATAAGTAGATGCCGAGAATATAGGGAAGGAGAAAGCTCGAACAGGGAAGGAAATGACTGAGCACGATGGAAAGGCTGAAACTACAATAGTGGCAGGGGCTGCAGCTGAGTGAGAGAGATTGAACGGCGGCCAAAGGAAAGGGATGAAGGCAGGTAAAAGAGAAAAGACAGCTAGGGTAAAATGGCAGGGGGTAAAACTGTAAAAATAAAATAAAATATTTTTTTAATTTAACTTTATTTAAAAAACTTAAAAACGCACGGTGCCCCCGTTTGTTTTTTTGTTAAAGTAATATGCAAAAATTTTTTAATGCAATTAAAATAAAATAATCAGTAAAATATATACATATATATTTTTTTGAATTTTCTTAATAAAATAAAAATAATAAACTAAAAATAATATATTTATATATTTTTTATAAGAAAACTTTATTCAAAATAAAATACTTTATAGTAATTAAAATAAAATAATATTTTAATCAAAAAATGTATTTTTATTTTTTAAAAATTTTTTAAAAAAATATATACAAATTTATTCTTATTAAACTAAAAAGAAAATTAAGTTTTTTCTAACTCAACTAAAAATTTCGCTTCAGCAAAGCAAAGTTTCGCTCTAGCAAAGATACTCTTTGTAAGTTGATTAAGCATTTTACATAATAGTCTTTTGCTCCAGCAAAACAAAGTTTTGCTCCAGCAAAAGTGCTCTCTAGAATTTTTGATGAAAAGTCACAGAGACATCTATCGCTAGAGCAAAATGAGATTTTGCTGCAGTGAAAGTGCTCTTTGAAATTTTGACAAGAACACAGAGGTATGTATCGCTAGAGCGAAATGAGATTTTACTACAGCGAAGATGCTCTCTGAAATTTTTGACAAGAACACAAAGAGACCCTTTGTTGGGGCAAAATCCTCTTTCGCCGAGGCGAACAAAACAAAGAAAAAAAATACTCAAAATTTAAGAAAAATACATAAATGAAGTAAAAACTCATAAAGAAAATAGCCTAAACACCTCCCAATCAACACAATCATTATATCAAACTCGCTCCCATACCTTCTAACATTTAATTAACAACTTTCAATCTAAAATTTCATTAACACAAGATCTTAATCCCATATAATCACATATAAATATCATCAATTAAGCACAACGATAGAACACTCCCTTAAAATATTATTGCCTCATTCTTTGATTCCAAAACTTGGCTTTAAGCTTTCAAATTCTTCAAGAACTCTGCAATCCTACGAACACACTAAAATAAAAGTACAAACCAAGGATAAAGAAATAAACAAACCAAAAGCACCAGTAAAGAGAAAATAAACTTGGGTTGCCTCTCAAAAAGCGCTTGGTTTATAGTCTTCAACCAAACTCAGATCATCAAGGTAGATCAACTAAGTGGACAACAGACTTCAATCTCTCTATGTCACCTCCCTAATAATGCTTGAGTCTTTGTCCATTAACTTTAAAAGATCTGCCCATTCTTTCATCAAGAACCTCAATTGCTCCATGTGGTGCTATAGAAAGCACTTTAAAAAGGCCAGACCATCGAGATTTCATCTTTCTAAGAAACAGCCTTAATCTTGAGTTGAACAGTAATACTAGTTGTCCTAGCTTAAAGTCCGATATAAGATATATTGATCATGCCACCTCTTAGTTCTCTCCTTATAAAGTCTGGCACTTTCAAAAGCATGAAGTCTAAATTCTTCTAACTCATTCAATTGCATTATCCTTGATGCACTAGCTTGCTTAGGGTCCATATTCAATTGTTTAATTGCCCACTAAGATTTATGCTCCAATTCAATGAGTAAGTGACATGCCTTCCCAAAGACCAAATGGTATGAGGACATCCCAATTGGAGTTCGAAAGGCTGTGCGGTAAGCCAATAAAGCATCATCAAGCTTGTCTGACCAATCTTTTCTAGTAGGACCCACTGTCTTCTCAAGTATCCGCTTGATGTCTCTGTTAGTCAACTCACAGAGACCATTGGTTTGTGGGTGATAAGCAAGGGACATTCAATGATGGACTCCATACTTTGACAAGAGAGCCTTGAATTGCTTGTTATTGAAGTGCGTACCTTAATCAGTGATAATGGCTCGAGGAATACCAAATCTTGTAAAGATGTTCTTCTTTAGAAACCAGGTCACAGTATTACCATCATTTGTTTGACACGCTATAGCTTCTGCCCACTTGGTCACATACTTTACAGCAACAAGTATGTATTGATTTCCTTTAGAAGAAGGAAATGATCCCATAAAATCCATACCCCAAACATCAAACAATTCCCCTTTTAAAATCCCAAACTGAGGCATCTCATGTCTTTTAAAAATATTTCCTGTCCTTTAACATCTATCACACTTGGTAACAAATTGGTGAGCATCTTTAAACAAAGAAGGCCAATAAAAACCAGACTCAAGTACTTTAGAAATAGTTCTTTATCCCCTATAATGTCCCCCATATGCAAATGCATGACAGGCATATAAAATGGCTTCTTATTCTATTTCAGGAACACATTTTCTAACGATCAAATCAGCACATCTTTTAAACAAAAATTGTTCATCCTAAATATAAAAGTCAATATCATGCAAAAATTTCTTCTTTTGAAAAGGCTTCAAATCAAGAGGTAACACTCTACACACAAGATAATTCATAATATCCACATACCATGGTAAATCACAAGTACCAACAATAAATAATTGCTCATCAGGAAAATTTTCAATAATCAACAAGTCATCACCATAATCAGAAACATGAACAAGTTTAGATAAATGATCAGCAACCTAATTTTCAGTTCCTTTTCTATCAACAATCTTCACATCAAATTCTTGCAACAATAAAAACCCATCTAATGAGCTTAGGTTTAAATTCTTTCTTATTCAACAAATATCTAATAGCAGCATGATCAATATAAACTATAACCTTAGCACCCATCAGATAAACTCTAAACTTTTTAAAAGTGAAAACAATAGCAAGCATTTCTTTTTCAGTAGTTGAGTAATTTACCTGTGCGCCAGCTAAAGTCTTGCTTGTATAGTAGATAGGATGAAAAATCTTTTCACGCCTTTGTCCAAGCACCGCTCCAACAATAAATCACTTGCATCACATATGACCTCAAAAGGTAGTGTGAGCAATCAGGAGCAATAATGATAGGGGTAGATGTTAATCTACTCTTCAACTCTTCAAAAGCCTTTGTACACTCTTCATTGAAATTAAAAGGAGTGTCTATTTCAAGTAGTTAAGATAAAGGCTTTGAAATCTTGGAGAAGTCCTTGATGAATCGATGATAGAAGCCAGAATGCCCTAAGAAACTTCTCACAACTTTCATATTAGTGGGTGGTGGCACTCAATAATTGAAGTCTTAGCCCGATCAATTTTAAGACCCTTCTTAGAGACTTTGTGACCCAGAACTACCTTCAGTTACCATAAAATGGAATTTTTCCTAATTAAGCACAAGGCTAATCTCCTTACATCTTTTCAAGACTTTAGCCAAGTTGGATAAGCACTGTTCAAATGATTCTCCAAAAATAAAAAAAAATTCCATAAACACCTTCATAATCTCTTCAATCATATCAGAAAAGATGCTCATCATGCACCTTTAAAAAGTGGCAGGTGCATTGCAAAGACTAAATGGCATCCTTCTAAAGGCAAAAGTGCCATAAAGACAAGTAAAAGTTGTTTTCTCTTGGTCCTCAAGAGCTATAGCAATCTAATTTTAGCCTGAATAACCATCCAAGAAGCAAAAGAACTCCTTACCAGCTAATCTGTCTAACATTAAAACAATAAATAGAAGAGAAAAATGATCTTTCCTTGTGGCATCATTCAACTTCCTATAATCGATGCAAATACACCACCTAGTATCTGTTCGAGTTGGAATTGACTCATTTTGCTCATTAGTAATTACTTTCATTCCTCCTTTCTTGGGAACACATTACACCGGGCTAACCCATACACTATCAGAAATGGGATAGATTATCCTAGCATCTAACCACTTAATAATTTCTTTTTTTACCACTTCTTTCATCATAGGATTCAACCTTCTCTAATTTTTAACAGATTTCTTATGTTCATCTTCTAATAAAATTTTATGCATCATAATAGAAGGACTAATACCTTTAATGTCTGCAATTGTCCATCCCAAAGCTTGCTTGTGATCTCGAAGAACTTTAAGTAACCTCTTCTTTTGATCACCATACAAAGCAGAAGAAATGATAATAAGTAATGTCTCAAATTTACCTAAATAAGCATAAATAAAGTGTGGTGGTAAGGGTTTAAGCTCCACAATTGGTGCTTGTTCAATTGAAGGCTTTAAAGAAAGAGCTTGTCTAGATTCCAACTCTAGAGATTCGAATACTCTTCTTGAATTAAGAAATTAAGGAGTTGCTTTAAGTAATTTCTTGCATTCAATAATATCATCATTGTCAACCATATTATCTCCTAATAATACAACATGTAATGAGTCTTTCACAACAAAGGACTCTAGAGTCTCTTGAACTACTTCATCTAGAATCTCCACTTTAGAACAAATTTCAGATTCCCCAGGATACTTCGTTGCTTTATACATGCTAAAGCCTACTTCTTCATTATTTACTCTAAGCTTGATCTCTCCTCTCTCAACATTAATAAGAGCTCGTGTTGTAACTAAAAATGGTCTACCCACAATGAGTAAGAGATTTCTATCTTCATCATAATCTAAGACAATGAAATCAACAGGAAAAATAAATTTATAAACCTTGACTAATACATCCTCAATTTTACCTTTAGAAAATGCCAAACTTCTATAAGCTAATTGAAGAGTTACTGAAGTGGGACTAACTTCACCAAGTTGCAATTTTCCAAACACAGAAAGTGGCATCAAGTTGATACTTAAGCCTAAATCACATAATGCCCTACCTTGAAATTTATCTCCAATCACACAAGGAATTGAGAAACTACCTGGATCATGGCATTTTGGAGGTAATTTGTTCAAGAGAATAGCACTACACTCTTCAGTAAGTGCAACTGTTTCACATTCACTCAACCACCTCTTCTTACTCAACATTTCCTTCAAGAATTTAGCATATTGAGGCATTTGCTCCAAAGCTTCAATAAGAAGTATGTTGATATGCAATTGCATGAAGATTCCCAATTTTTTTGTATTGCTCCTCTAATGCCTTCTTTTGAAATCTTTAAGGGAATGGTAGTGGTGGTACCAAAGAAAAATGATCACTAGTCGGTCCCCTCTTCTTGGATGTTGTCACTGCGTCTTTTAGAGACTCCTTTTTAATATCATTTTCAACATTCACAACTTTAGCTTTAGTAGGTGTAGAAGATACCTCTTGCTCAGTTTAATCAATTTCTAGCTTAGGCATAGACTCAGAAGTAGGAGGGGAAATTTTTAGATAATTGCTTCCCACTCCTTAAGGCAATTTCTTTACGCTCCTCATTTCCTTCTTTACGAGGATTAGTCTCTGTATTGCTTGGCAATCCCCCTTTATGAAGTGCAGTCACTATAGTTGCAATTTGCCCTTGGATCTCAAGATTCTTTAAAGATGAATCAACTCTTGCATTAATGGTAGCTTGTTCTTGACTATTCTTAATTTGAGATTCTGCCAATTTTGCCATTATTTCTTCTAAGTTAACTCTTGACTCTTGAATAGGAATAGATCGCTTTTCAACTTGAGGAAAACCTAAGGGAACGATTGGCTTTGCATTAGAAGATGAAGCTTGATTGAGGGTTGCATTATTTCTCCAAGAAAAGTTAAGATTCTAACACCACCCAAGATTGTGTTTGAAAATGGGTTGACTTGATTATTACCACGATAATTCCCAGCATAATTTACCGTTTCAACTTGTTGAGAAAGATGGCAATGTTCAATAGCATGTACATCTCCACAATAATCACATTGAGCATATATGGCATGAGCTCCCATAGGCCCACCATTATTTCGATCAAGACGTGCTTCTAGACGGTCAAATCTCTTACTGAGAGTCTGAAGCAAACCTACCACTTAGGAAGATGAAGAGTCATTAGTAACTCTTTCTTGTGATCTCCCAGGTCTTCTCTCATTGTTGTTCTGGATGTAATTAGCAGTAAGATCATCTAAACAGTTCCAGACATAGTTCACCGATTGCTTTGTAATCCCACCATTAGTGATTGAATTCATTTCAGACTTAGATTCTGGTGTCAACCAGCTACTAAAAACTTGAATCAAAACCCATTTCTCTTGATTATGCCCGGGACTCTGCTTCACCAATTGCTTAAACCTTTCCCAAGCTTCATACAAATGTTCACCAAACTACTGATTAAAATTAAGAATGTTAGCTCTAGAATCGACCATCTTATTATATGGGAAAAATCTAGATCTAAACTTACTTTCCATTTCCTCCCATGATGAGACACTACCCTCATTTAAATTGTTGAGCCAATCCTTAGCTTTCTTTTGTAGAGAGTAAGGGCAGAGGTGAAGATGGATGACATCTTGAGGGACCCCATTTTGCTTGAATAAGTCACATATGTCAAGGAAGTTCACCAAAATGTCTATTAGGATCCTCATCTTGATTTCCTGCAAATTGCCCATTCATCTCAATCATCTTAAGCATGATTTGCTTAATCTCAAAGTTGTTCACTTGAAAGTCAGGAACTTTAATCTGAGATTGGTATCCTCTAGCTTGTCTACCTAAGAAATCAATAACACACAGCCTATCATTCTCATCCTCAGCCATCTCTTTGTTTGTAACTTTTTCACTGATCGGAGGTTGAGTTTGAGATGAAATAGCTTCCAAGATTTCTTTGAGACTCCTTGCTCTCATAGGTGTCTTTTTCAACTTAGCCTTATGTGGCATGCAAAATAATCTTGTAAAATTAAGACAAGATCAAGGATCTAACTGAACAAACAAAAAATGACAAGATAAATGCTCAAGCTAAAACTACTCAAGGTCCTTTATTTCTAATTACCAATTACCTAGATTCCTCGTCAATGGCGCCAAAAACTTAATGCACACAATTACGTTTTACTGCAAGTATACGGTTTATAATTAGTAAGTGGTAAAGCAAGGTCGATCCCACAAGGAATCAAATTAATTAGTAATTAAGCAATAAAGTTTCCATTTTCATTTAAGTTGAGCAAAGCAAGATATGAATTTGATTTTTGCAAAATAAGGATTAAAATTAGAAAAATACATTAAAATTAAGATTCCAACAACCACAAACAATCAAAGCAACCTAGGGTGGCTAATCCCTTCTTCAATTCATAGAGCATGTAATTACCCAAATAAATTCACTTAAATTAATATATTAATCTCAAGTATTAATAGGAATAATTATCTATCAATTAATTATACCCCTCTCTTGAATTAATTTCCTATTTCTAACACAATTACCTAAGAGGTAAAATGGCACAAATTTACTCTAATGTGATTATATGGGTTCAATAGGTATATTCCTATCCTATTAGAAAATTAGAATAAATTCTAATCCCATGTTACTTAATCTAATGGTCAAATTCAGATTTTCTTCTTTCAAGGCAAAACCCAAACCTCCAAATTCACACTCAATGGTGGCCAAACATTAAGTAGACAAATAAGCACAAAATTAAATAAACAAAACTAATATTAAGTTCAAATAAATGGTTCAAACATGTTTTAATCCAAGAATCAGTTCACATCTACCCTATATTAAGAGAAAATTAGCCACACATGGCTTCCATGACAGCAAAATCAGCAATATATACAGTAAAGTAAAGAGAAGATGGAGAAGAAAAGCTTAATCGAGGTAATCTTGAGTGAAACCTTTGATTTTCCATTAAACCCAAGTTTTCCCAACCCTTCTTTAGCTCTTTTCCCTCTTCTTGGACGTTCTGTAGCTGCTGGAGGTGAAGAATAGTCGAAAATGAGGTGCTCAGACCCTAAAAATTAGCTAAGAGCCAAAACTGTGCATTTCACTAAAATCGCACTTTGCTGCAGCAAAACGCGTTTTCGCTACAGCGAACATGTCTTGTTCAGATTTTTTTTTAGATTTAATTCCTCTAACTTGGGCTCCGAAATTCTCTTCTTTGTGCCCTTAAATTAGGCATCCCTATATGTATAAAATTTAAAATAAATGATAGAATTGATCCACTAACTTTTAACATATTTCTAAGCTCATTTTCATATACATTTATCCATTTAATTATATTTTTGCTAACAAAATTTAAATAAATAATTTTTAATTACATTAAAAATATTAATAGATTTAATAAAATATTGAAAGTCATTAGTGGAACCTCATTGTAATTTATAATATATATATATATATATATATAAAATCATATTCTTGTTTTTTTAAAAAAAATAAAACTTAAGCCTTCCATCAGCCAGCATGCGCTATATATATATATACACACACGACACAGTAGCATCTTTAAAATCCTCTCCTCTGCTGTAAAGAGTTATTTAACTTCCCTCCCGACTCAAACACACTTACGGCAGCAGAATAGAGAATAAGGGGAAAAATTTGACAATCTCATCCATTTAAACACACACAAATCCAATAATGAAGTGGAGAATTCAAAACTCCTCGCATTGAACCAATCACAACAGATTAAGGAGAAAATGAACCTGATGATGCAGAAAATGGAGGAGGGGAAAAAGGGCCGACATCATGAAGCACGGAAAAAATAGAAGGGTCTTAACATCCCTCAAACCAAATCAGCAATGACCATTCAAAGTGGAGAAGTGGCTCTGATGACCCAGAGCAGGACGAACAAGGATTCAAAGTGGAGAAGTGGCTCTGATGACGCAGAGCAGCATAAACAAGTCAACGGCAAGCAGTAAGAGAAGGAACTCACAACCCAGACATGTAGCAATGGAAGATCACGGCGGACGCAAGTACTAGTGCAGGCGAATAGGACAACAAAGGGAGGAGGATGACAGAAGATAAAGGGCTTCGAAGCTTCTGGATTCTCACGACCTCTCTTACTCTCTCTCTAGGAACCCCAAAAATGCAAATTCAATCGGGAGGGGGAAAAATATTCTGAATTTCTGATGGTGTTGGGGGTCAAAAAGTAATTTTGTAGAGGCTGGACCCAAAAATGAAAATAAAGATACCTTTCAAATGATTGGAACAATGGACATTAGGATACAAACTAACAGTAGTTACCAGTGAACTATCAATATATTTTATTAATCCATCCCAAAATCAAATTAAAAAAATATATTTAAAATATATAACTACAAATTTTAATTGACTCTCATTTCAGAGTCATTCAACCACTAGACGACTAATGTCTCTTGTTAAATTTGTTCAAAAATTTATAAAAATATCTTCAAAATTATTTTATATTTAGTTACTATTTCAAAAAGTGATTTATTATGAGGATAAAGGTGTAAATTTACCTTAAAACTTTGCCTCCAAAAGCACATGGTATCTTTAACTTTTTTAGGTGCAATGTTGCTTCAGAACTCTCCAAAACGTTGCAATGTTGCCTTGTCATTAGAGTTGGCTGTTTGTTGACTGTTTTATTTGATTGAACTTGCCATATGGCATTTTTTAAAAATTTAAAAAGTGGTAAAGGTGTAAATTTATCTTGAAACTTTTCCTTTAGAGGTAACTGGTATCTTTAACTTTTTTTGAAAGCAATGTTGCCTCGAAACTCTCCAAAACAATGCAATGTTACCCTACTGTCAGAGTTGATTATTTTGTTTGCCACATGGCATTTTTAAAAACTTAAGAAAAATGTAGATACAAGTGGCTTCCATCAAAGCATCCCTAGCTCTCTGACTTCTTTAATCATCCACATTGCTCATTGGTTCACCATCCCCCTCTCCTTGTGTCTCAATTACATATGGCTCTCCCTCCTTTAAAGTCGATCGTTCTTCTTGTCTTCATTCCTCCCTCCTCTATTGTTAACAGTTGCAAGACAAGAGCTAAGTGAGAAGCTCCATATCCGTTACCCATATAAGGAGCCATAGAAGTGAGTAGCTAATAATGCTCATGAGAAACCTAAGGCCAAGAGCCAGAGCTTCTTTTATGAGATTTCTAATGTTTTTGTTTCACAGGTTTGAAAATTGTTACTATTGGAATTGGAAGTTTTGAGTTTTTATTGAAAGTGCCTAATTTTGTAAAAATTCTTGTTACCAATTTGACCATGTTTACTT